CCTATCAAACACCACAAACTCGGTTCCATTCAAAAGAGCGACAGTCCGTCCTCACTACAGAGGCGTGACGTCCCGACGATTCGTCACGTCCCGCGGCATTCCTGAGGAACGCCAAAGGTGACCTTGTGCGCTCTTATGCTACGCACCGAGTTATGGATGAGATCCAGTAGCGTACACGTCCCAGCCATGTATTCCAGCCCGACCTTATCCCTCACCATCATTTAAGTAAAACAAACGTACATGTGTAGATTCATTCCAAACGGTTCTCATGTTTCCTCATTTTCCGATCTCGTAACATTGGGACGTGTTGATGCCTGGAAGCGTAATATAGCGACGATTTGTAAAATGAGACGCTTTGGGAGTGAGACCGTTCGCCTGCACTCCTGTTACTGAACCAAGGAGAGTGATGAGGACTGAAGTCGATCCTCGTTCTGACTGAGAGCTGCATCAATAACCTCGCTGCGTCGGGCTCGGGACCTACCAGAGCTTTAAATAAGTGTCTGTGTTGGCCTTTGTGCGATAACACAACCCTGAAGGTGACCGACGAGGACTGAAACACTAAGGACACTTCCACAGCGTCCTTGGTTACACATGAAGGCCCCTCTGTGATCTACACGTGTGTTTGCTTCCTCAGCTGCTGTGGAGCCTGACCCTGTTCCTGTGGAAGATGTGATTGAAGCTGCTGTGGCAGAAGACACAGCTGCACCCTCACCACCAGGTATGTGTGGACAGCAGAGTCAGCTGTTAGGTCATAGTGAGATATACTCGGTGTGTAAAGGCACATCAGGCACAGGCAGTGCTTAACGATCTGACAGTGGGAACTTTGTTTCCTCAGAGCCTGAAGCTGCATCAGAATCAGCTCCTGAGGCTCCTCCTGAGGCCGATGAGGTTATACTGACAAACCTTTCACTCTTATTTCTGTCGCGCTTCCTGCCTGCTGATGACACTTTGGTGGTCTACCTGTTGTTGTTCAGGTGATTGAGGAGGAGCCAGAGGTGCTGGAGGAGGAGCCTGCTGCAGAAGAGGAGGATGCTGCCGTTGAGGAAGAGGAGGTGATGTGTGTTTGTTATTAGTGTGCTGCCGTGTCAGTGTGTCGAGCAGAGACTCTTTCACTTTCTGAAACTCTGAGCTGCACTTTGGTGAAAAGGTTCATTTATTCACTTTTATTTGACTTCAGTTTGAAACTTTTAGATTAGAATTTGTTTCTTTAATCCATAGAAACATGGATATAAACAAATCCATGTTTCTATGGTAGATGGTAAAAAAACAGGAACGTCTGTCATGTAGCTGTTTACCTTTCACTTCATTGCGTTGGCGTATGAATGGACCCAGGGGTGTTTTTATTAACGGAAAAAGTTCTAAAAGTTATGAACATGTAGTAAAAAGTCCAAAATGAGTGTCTTTCCCAAAGCTGCTGGGTGGGCTGCAGGAGGGCAGGCCTGGCTCTGCGAGCTTTGAAGGAAACTGAGCCACATCATGCAGAACAAACTCTGTGTGTCTCTGATGATCTGTGTCCCCCAACCAGTCTGACAGAAACACCCTCACACATCCAGCACATAGGAACACACAAACACTGGTCAACAATGCCAGTGTCCTCTATGTTCTGCTCAGTTCATCCTTCCATGGGAATGCCATGTCCTTCGTTTGTTCACCGGCTCATGTGAGGCTTTCCCTGCATAAACAGAAGCTCTGTGGTCCAGAGTCATGCTGACAGCCTGATTGGTCCATGTGCAGGGAAGGCCCGGCGTCCACGTTAGCCTGAGCGATAAAGACACGGCTCAGGTTAAAGAGCCGGTAACGCTGTAATGACAGGAATCCCTCTCTATCGTTGGTGCAGCCTGCTGGTAAGATGCAGCAAAACTATAATTCAATTCAGTTTTATTTATATAGCGCCAAATCACAACAAAAGTCGCCTCAAGGCGCTTCATAGATACAGCGAAAAACCCAACAATCATATGAACCCCTATGAGCAAGCACTTTGGCAACAGTGGTAAGGAAAAACTCCCTTTTAACAGGAAGAAACCTCCGGCAGAACCAGGCTCAGGGAGGGGCGGGGCCATCTGCTGTGATTGGTTGGGGCCATATAATGTCTGAATATGGTTTAATGTGACTGTGCTGATTCAGGTTGCTCCAGCTGAAGAAGAGCCAGCTGCAGAGGAGATGATGGGAGACCAGCCTGCGGAGGAGGAGGAGGAGGAGGAAACAGAAGCAGAGGCCGCAGAGGAGACTACAGAGGAGGCTGTGGAGGAGGCCACAGAGGAGGCTGTGGAGGAGGCTACAGAGGAGACTGCGGAGGAGGCCACAGAAGAGGC